TTTTTCGCTACATATCACTAGCATTTTTTTATTTTCACTTAGTTTATAATTAATTTATTCTTGTTCGTTTCACGCTAGAAGTCTTCCAAGCATTTTATATTACATTTTCGAGAAAATAACCATACTTGAATGTTTTTATGTTTCATTTTCACAAATGTACTACCTCAGGTATTTGTCGTATACTTTTTCATTTTTGCTAAAAAGTTTTTACAAAACGTTTATAGTGCAATAATGTTCTTGAATGGATACAAAGCGGATATTTGTGTTTACTTTTTATCTTTGTCTGTCAGAATTATATGCTTGTGAGCTTTTCTTAGAAAATTATTTCTATAATATAGGATTAAGATGTGTATAATTATTTTTCATATAAATCTCATGTAGCCTTAAGGTCTTTTGTGTACAGTTTTTTTACTATTTAGGTTTAATATTTAAGTTTAAACTACTAGTTTGATGTACATAAAAGAATCTTCATGCAATGATTTAAAATAGACAGTACTTGTTAATGAATATGGCGTTTTATTTTTTGTTTACCTGGCAAGAAAATAATACCACAGTTTAACCACAAACAGTTAGGACACTCTTAGTCGGCGCCTTTGAAGTATAAAAGTATCCAGACGCCATATTGAAAACAGACTAGATCAGTTACGGACTGGCACAAGTGGTTAGAACAAAGACGTGTTTATATTATTTCAAACTTAGTAAACAAGGAAATTTGAATTAATTACAATCGACAATATATTAATTTAATTTAATTATTATTATCAAAATGTTTTATTTATTTTATATAAAACTAAATCTTTTCTACCATAGCCAAATAAGAAACTGAAAAAACTTATATTCCAAAACAACAAATTATTTCGGGAGGCAATTTTGTGTGTAAACTAATTTAAATAGACTTACTGTTAACTTTTACAACAATAATTTAACAAAAGTAAACTTACAAAAAACTTTAACAAGTAAAAATGATATCGGAAAAAATAAGAGGGAGTGAATACGTATATATATATATATATATATTATATATATATATATATATATATATTATATATATATATATATATATATCTTAATTTCTAAAACAATCTTGACAAAAGTTTAGGGTGATACTACGTTCCTTACAATTTGCTCTCTTACAGTCATCACATGATTTCATGTCTTTATGTTTCGGGCAAAAATGACGTCTTGTTTGCTTAGCAGGTTGTCGATTTGAAAGTTCCTCAGTTGGGTTTTTTGAACTCTTGTCTTGATCTGTTCCAAAAATTTTTATGATTGTGGTTTTTAAATCATTATTAGAGAGCTGTTTCATATCTTTTCTTCTTTTCAGATGTTCATTCAAAAGACTTTAACCGAGTAATATCGTGAAATGTTTTTGAGACAAAGAACATTGACTATTTGCGCTTTTATAAAGAACATATGCATTTTTTCTTGTTATATGTTAACATAAAATACAGCCAGGGGCCATCTTTTTTATTATAAGTTTTTTACCTGCCTTCTTAAATTGCATTTCTACAGTTTCTATCCAGTAGAATGGTTGTGAATTTAAGATTTTTTTAGTAGCAATGGTACTTGTTTCTTTTTAAAGTATTTCATACAGTTCTAGCAGTACCTAATACCAGTTTCTTTTGAAATTAGAACGTGCTGTTACAAGGAAAATTAATTTCAGTTAGACTACTTACGGCAGTTTTAGGCAGAATTAGTATTTATTTATTTATTAACGGGATGTTTCCATTTTTTACAAAACAATTAACAACATATAATATCCTAACCATAACATAAATACTAAAACTAAATATTAAATAATTATTAAATATTGTTAAACAATTATTAAATTACATAAATTAAATTTTTATAAAAATAATTTTAAAATGAAATTAATATCCCCAAGTTTTTTTAGACTTAATTAAACGAAAAATAAAACTCGACGATAAAGATATAAACAAACAAATCACGACAGATGACTCGACTACACGTTACATTAATACCAGTCGGGTGTCACTAGCGTTCGGTCTGTTTTCAATATGGCGATATGGCCTGCGCTAAATGATGCGCGTACTTTTTCCCGCCAGTCGAGTGTCCATACTATTTCTTTTTTATACTATGATAATACTATACCTTGTTTCAAGTTAAGAAAATAACATTGCGCTTATGGAGATCAGATTGTCGATATATGATTCATTCTAATCAGAGTCGTATTCAGCACTGTGTAGTTAATTAATTTCACTAATAAAAGGATATGTATAGTTGAATACAAAATAATGCATTATAAATATTTGTTTCTTTAATTGACAGATATAGGTATATAATTATTAAAGGTCTAAGTGCAGCTTTAATTTGATTTTCATGTACGTAATAACGACACTTACATACATACAGATTGAACGAAATAAATTCGGAACATACGAAATATTATGTATTTCGGCTCAATTCTGCTGTGGACCAAGAAAAGGTTGGCAAATATAGAAATCCAATACTCAGGAAGCAATGAATGATCTCGGAATCCGACAAACACTAATAAAAGCAGTTAAAGCAATGCACAAAGAAAACAAAGTAGCTATTAAATGTGGAAATAAAGCCTACAATCCATTTAAGACGACAAAAGGATTTCTACAAGGCTGTGCTATGTCCCCTACTCTGTTTAAAATATTCTTGGAAAAGACACTCAAACCATGGAGGAGAAAGTGCGAAGGAATGGGCATATCAGTAAGAGACGAATACCTATACACTTTAAGTTTTGCCGACGATCAAATCAGCTTTATGCTCAGAAAACTATAAGAAGAATATAAAAACAACGGAACGGAAATAAACTTAGAGAAAACCGAATACCTAACAACAGAAAACAAGGATATGAGAAACCTAGAGATAGACGAGGGAAGACAAGTAAATGGAACAGATAAATTCAAGTATTTAGGAACCATAATATCGAACCAGGGAACAACAGAACAAGACAAACAAGAAACTGTATAAGACAACTAAATTCAATGCTGTGGGATAAGAACATTACGATAAAGACAACAAAGAGAATATATAATACCCTGACAAGAAGTATCCTGACATATGGGTCCGAAAACTGGACAATAAACTGTAGAGTGCTTTTACCGCGTTTATTAATCTTCGTGGAACTTCGATGTCTTCCATAGCTTGGTTCTAGGTATTGAGTCATATGCCTTCTTAAGATCAAGATTTCCCCGCTGTGAAACCTGCCTGGTCTTCTCCGATTTTATCTTGTATATATATTTCTAATTTTTTCTTTATGGTCTTTCCATACAGTCTGCCTATAGACGATATAATGCTGATTCCCCGATAGTTTTCGCAGTTTTTTCTATTTCCTTTCTTGTATATTGATGTCATATATGCTTGGGTCCACTCTGCCGGTAAGTCTTCTCCATTCAGTGCTCTCTCAAACATTTTGTGTATTAGGTATACGGAATAACTTTTCCGATCCGTTTTTTATCAATTCATTTGGTATTCCGCCGGGACCTTCTGCTTTTTTGTTCTTTAGAGTTTTGATCGTTCTTTTTACCTCAGCTAGGCTTAATTCGATTTCGTCATGTGTGTAGATTTCTATTCCGTCTATTTCTGATTCTTTGAATTCGGGGCGGTCTTCGGTTAGCAATTTTTTATAGTATTCTTACCATTCGTTTTCTTTGATTTGACCGATCTTGATTTTCTCTGTCTTATTTCTTTGGAGCGACTTAAAGATGCGCCATGACTCTGAATTTCTCGTTCCTCCTATGTGCTGTTCTATCTCTGTGCATGTTTTTTCCCATTTTTCATTTTTTTCGTTTGCCACTTTTCTTTTCAGTTCTTTATTTTTTTTCCTGTATAGTTCAAAGTCCTCATAGTTTTTTGTGTTCAGGTATTTTATATGGACTTCTTTTTTATGCATGTTAGTGTGTCTTCGGTTAATTTGTGGTAGTTTGGTGGGTGTATTTTTGGTCCACTTCTCCAAGAGCTTCTAGGGCTGCTGTCTTCATGCAGGTTTTTATGTGTTCGTATGTTTGTTCTAATGATTCATACCGAAACTCTTCTAGCTTTTGGTCCAATCTTCGCTTATATAGGTCTTTTATTGAGTCTTCTTCTAATAAATTGATTTTGAATTGAACTTTTCAGCAGTGGTAAAACTGTGTGGTCACCAAGAGAATGGTCAACTGTTATACGCAATTCAAGCATGAATCGTTTTAACTATGTTACTGAGTCATTGGATTTATCTAATTATTTAAATTGGAAAGATTTCGCTGAAACATTAGCAAATAAATTCAAAATGAACATTAGTAAACTTCGCATAGCCATGTTTAATAAAGATAACCCACAAAGCTTCATTGTAAAGTATGGATTCTTTGATAATAGTGAACTGAAAACTATAAATTTGCAGGAAACCTTAAAAACATGCCGTAATCGTAATAGTAACAATACCGTTTCTCAACAGTTCTAGAATAACCGACTCGAAATTTCGCCAGCTTAGTACCTAGATCTTAAAAAACTCTGTTAAGGATGTTATCCCAGCAGAGTTTAAAGGTGACTTCCTTTTATTACCCCACAGTGGTGATATTACAGACTGCTAGATGGAAACAGATAACGAGGATACAAGTGACGTTGATTTTTTATTATATCTAATTTTTATTAATACATGTATAATTTTAATGTGACACTTAACCAAACATCGTAAGTACCAGTGCTATTACAAAAATAAAACATACAACATAATTATTTTTGTCATTTGTATAGCACACTACCAAAAAATATAATATAAAATATTTTACTTTCAATACTGATTGGTACGAACTAACATTAATTAAAAAAAACCTCCTGTAAAATTCCACTTTTGCTGGTTACGATGTTTTTCTGAAAGGGCTCGATATGACCATAACCTTACCTCGTCAAAAAGTCACCGAGCAAATTTGGTACCAAAATGTTCGTAATAAAAATCTGTATAACTTTGCTTAATATATTTTTTTCGATTGGAGTGGAAGAACATGTAATTAAACAGGTAAAAGCAAAAATTCTGATTTTTTAACTTAAATGAAATTTTATATATATCTCGAATATGATAAACAGCAACTGTTTAGAACAAAATTTTACACATGTATAGCTGTTTCGTTTGTATGTCTTTTCAAATGTGACTTCAAATTACTCGATTTAGTAAACTGCTTGAAACAACTATCACACTTGTAAGGTTTTTCTCCAGTGTGAATTCTTACATGTGACTTCAAATGATGTGCTTGAGTAAATTGCTTTAAACAAATATCACACTTGTAAGGTTTTTCTCCAGTGTGTGTTCTCAAATGTGATTTCAAATACATCGCTCTAGTAAATTGCTTAAAACAAATTTCGCACTTGTAAGACTTTACTCCAGTGTGTATTCTTAAGTGCATTTTTAAACTACCTGCTACAGTAAATTGCTTAAGACAAACATCACACTTGTAAGGCTTTTCTCCAGTGTGCATTCTCAAATGACATTTCAAATGAATTGCTTGAGTAAACTGCTTACAACAAATATCACACTTGTAAGACTTTTCTCCAGTGTGTATTCTTAAGTGTCTTTTCAAACTGCTTGCATCATTAAATTGCTTAAAACAAATTTCGCACTTGTAAGGCTTTTCTCCAGTGTGAGTCATCATATGTGATTTCAAATTAGTTGCTTGAATAAATTGCTTAAAACAAATATCACACGTGAAAGGTTTTTCTCCAGTGTGAGTCATTATATGTAATTTCAAACTATATGGTGAAGTAAACTGTTTCAAACAAATTTCACACTTGTGATGTTTTTCTCTAGTATGTATTCTCAAATGTGATTTCAAACGACGTGCTTGAGTAAATTGTTTAAAACAAGTATCACACTTGTAAGACTTTTCTCCAGTGTGAATCGTCAAATGTGATTTCAAATTAGATGCTGCAGTAAACTTTATAAAGCAAATATAACACTTGTAAGGTCCTTTCCCAGTTTCCACTTCCATATTTTTATTCAATGTTTTTTCTTCAATGTATCTACCCAAATCTTCCTCATGACTAGATGAATGTTGAGATGATTTCATAATTTTCATTCTGTTCTTATTCTGCAAACAACCTAAAATACAAACCAACTGTACAGATTTTACAACAAAGAAAAATTTATACAGAAACTATAGATCAGGAATAAAAAGTAACAAAAGGTTATTTAGAACAAATAAATGTAATAAAAGAACAAAAGCGTGGTTCTTTTATAGAGTATGTTTCAACTATAGTGGCAGAAATTTCTAGGAACAGTAAAGCCTCACCAAACAAAGCAATGGCGTTTCAAAATAACTTAAGATTTAAATGAAATTGTTAAAGATAGGTTCACACAATTTATTCAACAATGAAATTAGATTATATTTTTTGCAATATTGTACTACATATTATTATAATAGATCACATACATATATTGTCTATACAGATTGAACCAAATTAAAACGGAACATACAATTTAATACATGTCTGTTTGAACTGCATTTGAAATAGTGGACCAATATAAACCTTGGACAAAAATAAATCCATACCTGGGTATAGACATTGTATAAAATATTGTTCAACTATCTGTCTCGCAACAAAGTTGTTTGCGTAAGACGGGTTTGTCTAAGGAAGCGATAATAGTTCAGGAAATGAAGCTCGAAAAAAGTTAAAACCTCGCAATTTTTTCGTCCTGCATGTATCCAGTTGAAATTTTAACAGAAGGTAGGTGATAGCCCAAGGATCAAAATCTATATCGAACCGAAGTGCGCTGAAGGGATTTAGGGGTGAAAACTAGCCCTAATTTTAAAAAATTATAAAATGACATATTAAACCTGAATATGGGTAAGATTTGGTTTGAATTAGTTACATAATGATTATTTTATACTTTTGAATAGAGTTCCATCATATTTCAACCCTTACATTTTTTTACATTAATTTCAAACAAAAAAATTACTAATTCTAAAAAAATGATTTCGCCTTGGATCGATTTGGATTTAAGCTCAATTCACCCGCTGCTTTATAGTTTATGTCATATCGACGAACCCTGATTGTTCTTAGGGGTGAAAACTACCCCTAATTGTCAAAAATTATAAAATAACATATTAAACCTGAATATGGGTAAAATTTGGTTTGAATTTATTAAATAATGATAGTTTTGTGCTTTTGAATAAAGTTCCATCATATTTCAACCCTTAAAAAGCGACCCCTATTAGAGATTAATATAAAAAAATTAGTAATGCGAAGAAAATGATTTCACCTTGGAACGATTTGCATAAAAATTTGGAATTAAGCTCAACTCACCCTCTGCTTTATAGTTTATGTCATGCCGATGAACCCTGATTGTTCTTAGGGGTGAAAACTACCCCTAATTTTCAAAAATTGTAAAATAATATTACAAATCTTAAGATGAGTGAAATTTGGTTTGGATTAGTTAAATAGTGATTTTTTTATACTTTAAAATACAAATTCATACATTTTCAACCCTTAAAAATCAATTGTTATGAGTGTTATAGGTGAAAACAATTTTTTTGCCAAAATTTTGCAACTTTTCAACTTTTGAAAATCAACCTTTACAACATTGCAGTTTTTATAAACTAATTTATAAGATATAAATTGAAAAAAGTAGAATTAAATACAAAAAAATTTATTAACATAAAAAGGCACCATATAGTCATACATTTACATAAATAGTTGAAAATATTTACATTTATAGGTAAAACAATTATAATATTAATTTTATTCGTCATCAATTACATCTTCATCGTGATCTATGTCATCCTCATCTTCTTCAATTATTGGTGGACTGTTATTGCACCCTTCACCTGAGCACCCAGAACAAGTAGAGTTACAGTATAAACCAACTTTTCTGCACCCACATGAAACGCCGCATCCTTTTTTGCATTGGCAAAAAATAATTTTCAAAAGTTCATCGCGTGCAGGTTGTTTGTTCATGCGTACGGGTAATAACAAACCATCTTTGGAATACCATCCCCAATCTGTTGCTCTGATATTTTCATTGCCAAGCCATAGACATATGAGCAGATGTTTTATTCTGTTGTATGGGATTTCAAAATAAGAACGCTTAAAATTTCGAATGTATAACGCCCCACTAGCTAATATACTGGTTTTGTAGATTATTATGCTCCCAAATGTACTGTACTATACTAATGGAATTTTCCGGAAAAAAATTAACTGGTTTTTTTAACGTATTTCCTTTAATTTTTAACGATAGAGTGTTTCTTCAAAAACGATTTGTAGAGGTTTTTAAGAGCTACAAGGATCTGTGAATTAAATCTTTTTGGAACCCTTGGTTTTTAAATGAGGTGAGTTTAAAGGGCTCGAAAAAGATGGTGCTTGATCGTAAATCGATGCTTTAAACGGCTATATCTCGCCAAATATTCACTGTACAACAAATCTAAATGAAGGATAATTTTAGACATTAAAAAAGCTACAATTTGGTAATTTTTATTTTTTTCATATATTCAGTATTTTCGAGCATATTTAAAAAAAGAAGGGCAAAAAATATGAAATTGTAAATCGTTTCTCGCTTTAAGCTGTACTTTTTGTAAAACTAAGCATTTTAAATGGGTCAAACTTCTTGGACGTATTAACAATACATGTACAAAGGGAATTGCAGAAGGGTGAATATCGATTTTAATTATGGGGGTGGTTAGGGGGTTGTTTTCATCGATTTTTTCGTAAAAAATGAGGTATTGACCTTATTTTCATCATAACTCACTCAATTTTTGAGCTAGAGTCTTTTTTTATGATAGGTCTATTTATGCTCTTTAAAAAAGGTTTTGTGAGTTTTCTTCCAAAAATGCATCATTTTCCCGATATTTGACTTTGAATCTTTCAAATTTGGCATTTGAAGAAAACCGCTGAAAATTGATAGGCCGTATTTCAGTTCCTATTATATCGCAAAAACATTTTAAAAAATGAATTGTGTTTGTCTTTAAAAGCTACAAATTTGTTCTGTACAATTTTTTTGATAAAATGCACAATTTTCAAGTTATTCGCGAAAAATCAATTAAAAACGTGGATTTTTTCGTCTAAAAGTTGTTACTTTCAATCGCGAATAACTTGAAAAATATCATTTTATAAAAAAAATGTATAGCACATTTTTTGTTTAGAATCACTTTTTTAATCGAAACCTGTAGTTAAAACGTAAAAAAAATTGTCACCCCGGAGATGGGGTGGCAACCACCCCCTAGGCTTTTTGGTTCCACCGCACTTTGGTTCGGATGGAACTCTATTCAAAAGTATAAAATAATCATTATGTAACTAATTCAAACCAAATCTTACCCATATTCAGGTTTAATATGTCATTTTATAATTTTTTAAAATTAGGGCTAGTTTTCACCCCTAAATCCCTTCAGCGCACTTCGGTTCGATATAGATTTTGATCCTTAGGCTATTACCTACCTTCTGTTAAATTTCAAGTCAATCCACGCAGCACGAAAAAATTGCGAGGTGAAATGCTTCATTTCCTGAACTATAACTGGTCTGTTACCAGAAATTGTAGCTTTAAATTTTTATGAGTTCAGAATCCAGCAGCCCGCTAAAGTATGGGATTTTTATAATATAATTATTTGACAATCTTTTGTTGGCCAACCACCTACAGCAGAATTGAGCCGAAATACATTACAATCCTATGTTCCGAATTTATTTCGTTCAATCTGTATGTGAAACCATATACGTATTACAGATTACAGTATTAATAAATGAAGCTATCAGAGTAAGAGTGGGCTAACCCCAAATATTGAATAAAAGATTTACATGAACCAAGAATATATGTTTTTTTTTAAATTAGATAAAATTAAAATATGATGCCAAAAGGTAGTCATCGTTTACAAATCATTAACTAATAACAAAAAACTCGAAGATCTTGCAGTATATTTAACAAAAATATAAAATTTTAGGCTTTTTTTTGTATTAGACCGCTTTTGCATTAGTGTGCCCTCAAAAATTTTAATAGGAATGTGGATTAGACCTAGAGTACAATACAATTAAACAATATCAATGTTGAAAATATTCCTCTTCTTTGTTTGCCGTCTTCTTAGCGAAGGTTGACGGTGACCTCTGCAAAGTCTTCCCTATTTTGGGCTTTCCTTATTAAACTTTGAAAGTCTAATCCTGTCCAATCTTTGATGTTGCGCAGCCAGGTCATTTGTCGTCTACCTTCTATTTTCCCTTCTATAATAAGCTGAAGAAACTTATACATATCGTGTCTAAATATGTGTCCAAGATAAAAAGTTTTTCGCTTCTTGACAATTTCTGTGAGTTTACGTTCTCTATTCATACGCCTTAAAACTTCTAACGCGGTCGGTGCTCTAAACATCGTAACGAGCTGACTGTTAACGTCCAAGCTTCCACGCCGTGTAATAGTACACTATATACATAACACTTTATCATGCGGTATCGTAGAGACAAATCAAGATTACGGGTAGTGAGTAACAGTCGCATCTTTAAGAAGGTGTTTCTTGCCGGTCCTATTCTACATTTAACATCTTGTTCTTGGTCTAAGGTTTCATGTATCCAACAGCCTAGATAACTTTTTCACTTGTTCACCTGTTGTTGACTAGTAGGTTTATAACTGGTGTGTTTTTTTTTTAATTACCATTGTTTTATTTTTTTTTACATTCACCTTAAGGCCGTATAGTTCTCCTTCTAGCACTACTTTGGTTAACAGAATTTGTAGTTCTTCTTCACTGCCAGCAATCATCATCAACTGTATCATCGGTATACCTGATATTGTTCAAGTTTTTTCCATTTACTTTTATTCCTTCTTGTATTTGATCTAGAGCATGTGCAAAGATGTCCACTGAGTATAAGTTGAATAATAATGGTGATAGTATACAACCTTGTTTAACTCCTCTTTAGGTTAGGTTGAAAATATGCTCTATTAAAAAAAAAACAAAGTAACAAAAATAATTAATCTTCATCGTTATTGAACTCTTCTTCTTGCTGTATAGTGGATCTTATTGTTCTGGTGCTTGTGTAAAATCCATGATGTATTGGAGGTATAAATGAAAGTAATTCCAAAAGATCTATTTTTTGCTTCGGTTATTGGACATCCATCGGGATAAAGACAATCTAGCTAAAATATTTCCCTGGATATCCTCTTTTTGACATCTAGTGAGTAAAAAAGAACATCTGCATTATTTCTGTATTTATAGTAAATTGTAAATGGATTTGTTTTGTACGAACGCCTGGTCAAGGACGCCCAAGGGGCACAAACGCAATTGATGACCGATTTTTGGTTCTTAATTCTACACAAAATCGTTCACGCACCTCAGAAATGAGCTACTAAATATTTGACAAGTTATGTGAGTTCAGATACAGTTAGACGAATATTAAAAGTAGAAAACTTAAAGCCCAGACGCCCCGCCAAAGTTCCACGTCTTGTCCAAAATCATAAATCTCGTCGTTTAGAATTTGCAAGAACACATATTCAGTGCAATATCGACAACTAAAAATGTTCTTTTCACTGATCAGAACAGAATGATATTATGGAAGTCAGGTGGACAAAACAGAGTCTACAGAAGAGTTGGAGAACGATTCGCCAGGTGCAATCTGGCTTAGACAGTTAGTTTTGGAGATGGTTGCATAATTCTTTGGGAAGATATTAGTTGGGAGGTACGTACCGCATTTGTGGAAGTGATTGGACGGATATTCGGTGACTCCCACGTTTAAAACCTGGGGGGGTAAACGATGATGTCCAAATTCGAAAATTGGACTGGCCACCGTTTAGCACGGGTTTACATCCAAAACAGCACATGTAGGATTACCTAAAACGCCGCATAAGACAAAGAAATCCCGTTCCAAATACGACAGACCAGCGTCGACTTGATGCACAGGATGAATGGAATGCAATTTCACAAGGATATGTCCAAAATTTACTTGCAAGCATGCCGAAAAGTAGGTAAGTAGTAATAAGAGCTAGAGAGGTAAATACTCGTTACTGATTATGCACTTCTTTTAGTTAAAAAACTTGTTTAAGCAATTTAAATTAGCATTTAAGTATATATGTATATAGGGTGTAGTAAAAAAACCATGATTATATGCAAAAAGTTTATTATTTTAAAAATTTAGTGACGGATTGTAGATGAATGACAATTGATTGTATCCCCCGCCGCATGCAGCGGGTAAAGTTTAAATATTTAAAAAAATTTCTCCCCTTCTTTTTTGGAAGCCTGTTGTGGACTACATTTGGACATCGGTCCACCTTGTGCTTTCCATGTTCACCTGGCTTGAGCTATGTGGTGCCAGTTTCTCCCTGCCTCTTCTTTAATGTCGTCGATCCATCTTTTTGGTGATCTTAAAATGTTAATATTAAAATCGTATATGATGCTAAAACAAATATCACACTTATAGAGCTGTTTCTATAGGGTGTCTTTTCAAATGTGATTTCAAATTATGGGCTTGACTAAATTGCTTAAAACAAATATCACACTTATAAGGCTTTTCTCCAGTGTGAGTCATCAAATGTGATTTCAAATTACTGGCTTGAGTAAACTGCTTTAAACAAATTTCACATTTGTGGGGTTTTTCTTCAGCATGTATTCCCGAATGTATGTTAAGATTAACTCTCTGAGCAAATTGTTTTAAACAAATATGACACTTGTAAGGTTTTTCGCCAGTGTGAGTTCTCAAATGTAATTTCAAACTATATGCTTCAACGAACTGTTTCAAGCAAATATCACACTTGTAAGGCTTTTCTCCTGTGTGAGTGATCAAATGTGATTTCAATTTATATGCTGCAGTAAACTGTTTAAAACAAAGATCACACTTGTAAGGCATTTCTCCTGTGTGAGTCATCAAATGTGATTTCAAATTACCGGCTTGAGTGAACTGCTTTAAACAAATTTCACATTTGTGGGGTTTTTCTTCAGCATGTACTCCCGAATGTATTTTAAGATTAAATCGCTTAGCAAATTGTTTTAAACAAATATCACACTTGTAAGGTTTTTCGCCAGTGTGAGTTCTCAAATGTAATTTCAAATTAGTTGCTTGAACGAACTGTTTCAAGCAAATATCACACTTGTAAGGCTTTTCTCCCGTGTGAGTCATCAAATGTGATTTCAAATGATGCGCTTCAGCAAATTGTCTAAAGCAAATATCACACTTGTAAGGTGTTTCTCCAGTGTGTCTTCTCAAATGAGATTTCAAATTTCTTGCGACAGTAAATTGTTTAAAGCAAATATCACACTTGTAAGGCATTTCTCCAGTATGTGTTCTCGAATGTATTTTCAGATTAAATCCCTGAGAAAATTGTTTTAAACAAATTGCACACGTGTAAGTTCCTTTCCCAGTTTGAACTTTCATATTTTTATTTAATGTTTTTTCTTCAACATATCTATCCAAATCTTCTTTACGAAATGAATGTTCAGGTGTTTTCATAATATTCATTTTGTTCTTATTCTGTAAGCAACCTAAAATATAAACCAACTCTACACATTTTACTACAAAGAAAAATTTATGCAGAAACTATAGAATAAGAATAAAAAGTAACAAAAGTTTAGAAGAACTAAAACATGATTCTGTTTTATATGTAAATGTATAATATTAATGGAAATATTTAAATCACATTCTTGTAGGGGTAAGTTCTGTTCACAGAAAAATCTAAAACTTGCTATAAATTTGCCCGGTTGCCAGAGAGTTATGGGTTTATCGACCATTAAAGCACTTTTTGGGCGTTCGCCCCTCACCCCAACTGATTTCTATTCCAGTGTTTTACCAGCCTGGTATTTTTCTATTACTGTTTCTGTATATACAGGTTGTTTCAAAAAGGTATGTCATAAATTAAATCACGCATTTCGGGGACAGAAATAAATTGACTGAATCCAACTTACTTTAGTACAAAAGTGTACACAAAAAAGTTGCAGCCCTTAAAGTTACAAAATAAAAGTAAAGGGGGGTGTGCAGCACTAAATCCCCCCAAACTTTTGAGTATGTTCAAATCAAATAAATTTTGTGGCATCATTAGTTTAACACATTATTTAAAAAAAAAAATTTGCCTCCCATCACTTTTTTCAAAAAACATTTTTTATTGAGTTACGACTCTTTTCATTAACATTAAAAAAAAACATGAAACTAAATAAATGGCTTAAATGAATTAACAAGTATAAAAAATGTCTGTAACCTCTATAAACATGATATTACAATAAATGTTCATAATGACCCCCATTTTCTTCAATACACATTCGGTATAGTTTTAATAAAGAAAACCGAATGCACAGAAAAATCATATTTTTCTGACGAAATTGATTTACAGCTTCAATTATTCTAACCCTCAATTGTTCGTCCTCTATTGTTACAAAATACACTTTCTATTTCATAAACTCCCAAAGCAAAAGTCCATGGGGTTAACCTGGACTTCTGGGTGGCCAAGAAATGGGTGCAACACGACCCCTTCCAATCCACCGACCAGGATACTGCCTGCAAGGGTATTCCCGGACTTCATTACTGTTATGCGGTGGAGTGTCATCTTGTAGAAACCACATATTTTGCCTTATTGCAATATTCACTTCTTCCAAATACTCTTGTAAATTCTTTGCCAAGAACTGCAAATAATTATCACCATTTAAATTGTTGGGAAGAAATACTAGGCCTATTAGATTGTTATCCACAATTCCTGCCCAAACATTAACTTTGAAAGTCCTTTGGTGGTGAGTCATTTTTTATATTGAAAATACCGAACAAATTGTATTAGTCAGTAATCCCAAAACTTTTCGACAAGCTAGTGACTTCTCACTTATCAAAACTAACAAATAATATAATAATACCCCAACAGCATGGCTTTCAAAGGGGGAGGAGCACAGTGTCAAACTTGTTGGTCTACCAAAATGATATATTGGGTGCCTTTGAGAGGAAGTACCAGATGGACAGCATCTATACTCACTTCTCAAAGGCATTTGATAAAGTAAATCATCATTATTTAATTAGTAAATTAGGAGCCATTGGTATAGCTGTCAAATGGCTTGATTGGTATGATATTTTTCTTGTGGGTAACACCCAGAGCATTAAGATAAATGGTGTGTTGTCTCAACGTGTTGACGTCCTCTCTGGAGTACCACAGGGGTCCTATTGTGACCCTCTCCTTTTTGTCCTCTTTGTTAACGATGTTGGGAAAGTCATTAAGTATTCAAAATTTGTCAACTTTGCTGATGATAACAAAAATTTATAAAGTCATTACTTGTCAGTATGATCAAATTCAGCTACAAGAGGATCTCAGCAGATTTAGCGATTGGTGCAAACTAAATGAATTAAAATTGAACATTGATAACTGTTGTGTTATTACTTTTCAAAGGAAGCAAACAATTTTAAATTACCATTATAGCATTGATAACACTCAGCTGTCTAGGCAGGACTGTGTTAAGGATTTAGGTGTTGATTAGGTGTGATTGTAAATTAGCATTTCATAAGCATCTAGAGGTCACAGTAAATAGTGCATTTAAACAATTAGGGTTTATAACTAGAAACACTTCTCAATTTTCATGTTTTGTTTTACCAATTCTTTTTAATAGTCTCATTCGCTCCAGACTAGAATATGCAGTTGTATGGGGACCTTACTATCAAACATCTATAGACAAGCTTGATCGTGTTCAGCATAAATTTGGTAAACACTATCATTACTTCGTTCTTTCATCTACCATTTCATCAATTTAATTATGAATACTTCAAGCCTCTTACTCATATGGTGAGACTATATAATAGGTAGCAAAGTGATCTGGACTTATTTTTCCAGTCCTTAGAACAATTTAAAAATGTGATAAAGAGACTGCTATTTGTGTGATATTAGTTTGTATTTCAGTTAATTATTAGTTTTTGTTAAACTTTACTAATTATTTTCCAATGTTCTGCTTACTTTGAAAAATTTTATATATTAAGTATATTTTGTTCCAATGTAAATGGTATATCCATTAATAAATTAATAAATACTTAAAGTATCTCCTAAAATGGTACGCCCTAAAACAATTTTGAATGAATGAGTCAAAGAATTTGCAACAGGTGGTCTATATATGTGCGACACAAATATTGTAATGTGTAAGTATTGTAATACTCGTTTGGAAGATGATAAAAAGGACACACTGCAGAAAGTCATGAAATCAACTAACCATATTAACAAGAAAAAATCTTGTTCTGAAGCTATTTTCTTGTGGCATTTTAAATTAATTATTATTTAACTGGGAATAAGCCACAATTAAAGATAAAAATACGTTTATTGACGTTTCAATTTCCACTTCAAGAAATCGTTCTCAAAATACAAACAGTAAACAATTTACTGTTACATCTACAAAAAATGACAGAAAGATTTGGACTAGGTACACACGAATCATCACTGGTTCAATAGAGAGATTGTACAGCAAAATATTAAAGAATAGAATTGAATCAGAGTACAAGGAAATAGAAAAACTTAAAGCTCAAAAACTACCTAGTCATCTTCTATTAATTTATAGATCTGGAAAAAGCTTACCATACTGTGCCCTTGAAGAAGCCATGTTTTGACAAATGCCTATCTTAGTAAAGTGTATGTTCAGGCAATTTATAATATATATAAAGAGACACAAAGTACAATAAGGACAAACTGACAAGTTTCAGAACAGTTCATTGCTGAAGTGCATTGCAAGCTGACTAGGATCATTGAACAGTGGTGCTTATTACCTACCTGATTAAAAATATACATATCAGAAGCACTGGAAAGCTGGAGAAGATTGTTTGCTGGAATGAGGATAAACATTGAAGTTTGCGGCTTGACAATGCTATATTTTGCATATGATTAGGTGACTATTACTAACTGTAAAGAGCATATTGATTACATGCTACAAAAGCTTGCAGAAAAGTAAGATTTGAATATAAACATACAAAAAACATAGTATCTGAGACTAGGGGGAGGAGAAGAGAACTTAGACCTATAATTAATACATATAAATATTTAGGCAGGATAATATCAACTCAAGGAACATCAGATTAGGGCATGCAAAATAGAATATAGCACAAAATGGACAAGAATACTTAATTCACTTTTTTGGTCAAATTGCATGGCAATGAGAACATTTCAATATATAGAGCAGTAGTAAAATCAATACTAACTTATGGATTTGAATGTGTTAAAAACAAAAGAAAAGCAGAAGCTACTGAAATGGATTTTAACAGAAGTGTTCAAAACAGAACATGTACCTAATAAAGAAATTAAAAATGCACAAATAGTATTCATTTAACATAAGAAAAGATACAAACAAGACAATTATTATGGTATATGCATGCAAGAGAATGTGCAGATAAGTATGTGCCATTTACTATATTTATATTTAGTACAACTATTTTGTTTCTTTTTATTCCTTTTACAATTTCTTATTTAAAGATCATTTAAATTTGTCTTTTTATTTTCAGACCAATGTCCAAAAATGCCGCAATTTTTGACATTTCATTCAATGAAAATATTTACTAAAAAGACCCTTCACATGTCCCCTTTTGGTGTATATAAAAATATAATGACATTCAATATTTCAGTAATATAAAAAACCCAAATAGTGGACTTCTTCAATATTGGTGCAATGAACATAACCTCGCATCCAGCTATATGTTTGTGTGACACAGTGTTGCCACTTTTTTTTGTATAAAGTATAGGAGCACATAGGAGTGTTTAAAATAGAAAGATACTTTGACGAAATTATATATGCTTTAAAAAACCAATGACGTATAATATATAGACTCGGTAAACGCTTTAAAAAGTGTCCAAAACATGAATACCTTTGTTATTGTTTATTGTTTTGATACGAAGATGCACGAAGTTCATGATTTCTTACGAAGCATCACGAAGTTGATCTTGTGTTTGAAAACATCATGGACGTATGAAAACATTTTCTCCATTTTGTGTGACAAGCAAATTTTATTTTAAATTGTTGAGAGTTATTTACTTACTATTTTAGTAAAATGCCATACTATTTTATCAAAATAATTATTTCTCTTATAGACGGGAACAAAAAGAAATCATAAATATTTAATTTTAATTAAAAAAATAATTATTGTCATTAACATATAAATGAGCACGCCGCTGTTGTGATAAACATACCTTCAACCTTGAGCCGAGATCTTTCGGACACTTGATTTTATAGCGAGAATAGGGGACTGCGTAGTCTATATATTATACGTCATTGTAAAAAACTTATACAGAAGTAAAATGCTTCACATTTGTATTTAGGTATATACTTAGGTAAATGTGAAGTGTTTTACTTCTGTAAAATGTAAAAATGTACACGCCACAGCCACAATTTTTGAATTCATATTAAAAAGCATTCATAAAATAGTATTTTTTATTTTAAATATAGCTATAGCATTTAACTTTACTTTATTCTGTAATTTATAAAGTTTCTAAACTATTAATTTTTAAGCATAATTTTAATGGTTTTTATTATATAAGTATTTTTAA